ATAAATACCCTCAAATTCACAAATTCCACTTGTTTCAGTCCTCCCAAGCACATCGAAAAACAGGCGTATAATTTGATGTCTTTAAGCCATATGCGGCATAGCGGGTATGTCTTTTGCACAAGACAGCTTAACAAGTCCGCTCTGAAAGGTGCTGCCAAAAATAGTATCTTTTATCTGTTCGCACACACTTCTTTCGAGGGAGAATTGAATGTCTTTACGCCTCCGTGAATGATTGATATGACAGTTTGATGGTTAATTCGCCCAAATGCGTCCCCATTGTTAGGAAGGTTGATGTCTATTCCCAGTGATAGGTGAGTGCAGAGGAATGTGCCTAGATCTGCCAGAGTGCACATTTGCCATTGTAAGCCCTGTCGGAATGGTTGAATGTCACAATAAAAGCTGGAAAATGCAGCACTGTGTCACCTTTATGGACGCAGGAGCATAGATTACCAATGTAGATATCAGCAATCGTGAATAAATATGGCCATTCAGGTACGTACAAAGCAGGATGATGGAGCGAACAATTGACACTTTATTGTTGTTGATAGTCATCTCATGGTTAAATTCCCAAAGTAAAGCTTAAAGGTCCTAGATTTGGGTGTATCATGCATTATTCTTGCTTTTTATTCCTGCCTATTATACTACTCTTGTTGCTTGTTTTCAGGTCAAAGGTGTTCTTTTGGCCTGAAAAATGATTTACTTACAAACAAGTCTGTGCTATTGTCACAAATTGTCCAAATTAAATTAAGTGAAAATGCAGGGCTGGTAAATTAATTTCAGTAAAAGTAAATGCAAAAACAGCATTCAGAATTGAAGGTACAACATGTATTCAAACAGGGGCCACAACACAAACCAGAGCAGTGCCGAAGCAAGGACTAGAACCAGACAGCCCCTTGGATGGAGGAACCAGATGGGGCCTGGTCAGGGATGGAGGGTAGCGACCACCCAGGACAGAGTTAAGTGTCCTGCGGTGACCACCTCTAAAGACAGAGAAGGTGGAGGGGTCTTGAGACTCTGCAGCAGACCAGTCGTGGACAAAAGCCAGGGATAACAAAAAACAATTGAGCAGTCCGTTTGGGTCATGTGTGGTTCTGTCATACTGTCACAATTCAAAATGAAATGAACCCAAAATACAGTATGTCTTAAAAAGTAATTTCATAAAAGGTAAATGCAAGACAACATCCAGAGCGAAAAATACAAAATGTAACGACAGAACAGGGAGTGAAGGACAAACAAATATTGACATAGGTGATACACATGATGGCGGGTAATCACACAGTGAGAAGAACTAAGGAAGTCACATGGGTTAACAAAGTACTAAAAAAAAACGAGAACTAAACATAAAAACCTTGACTACTCTACTATCAAGCCCATTCTTCTTCTGTTCACTATTATACAGTTTTATGTACAGTTGTGCTTTAAGTTTACACACCCTGTAACCTGAGCTATAGGTTTGAGTACAAGGTATGATCCAATCCAAATTTCTTTTTTTTATATAGCACATTTTATAAAACAAGTTTCCAAAGTGCTACACAGAGATAAAATTAACACAATATACAGGTTTGCCAGATTTATATGTTTAAAAAAGAAAAAAAAAGTAAAACTATATGCTCAAATTAAAAACAATAAAAATGTTATAAAAACAATAAAAATGTTATAAAAACAATAAAAATGTTATAAAAACACTTTTAAAAAAAATCAAAACAATAAAAAACTGTTAACAATAAAAATGTTTTAAAAACAGTTAAATACCAGTGAACCATGCACATGTAATAAATACTGTAGAATACCAGTTAAAAATGAAAAAAATATAAAAACAGTATAAAAACCGTAAAATACCAATTAACAATAAAACATGATAAAACAATAAAATACCATTTAAATGATTTAATAATATTATAAACATTGCATAATTTTTAAATCTTTCAATCTGACATATGCCACATGATTAGCTTGTCATGGATTGCACCTTTTTCCCTTTTTGTTAGAGTTGTGTGCTGCCATTTCTTGCCAAACAAACTGTGCACTTAGCCTAAAAGCTCTTAACCGTAAGTGTGTACAACATGTCCTCTTCATTAAAAAATATATTTTTACTTTTTCACACCATTTGGATTCAGTATCTAAGACTTGCTGCTGGCAGTGTTGACTCATTGACTACAGCGTTTCATTTCAACATGACAGCATTTCTAATTAAAGCTTTGTTTGCCTCCGGGACACAACTTCAATAAACGTAAACGTTACTTAAGCATACTTTGAGGCTCCAATGCAAACACACTTGTTCACTATCCTCACACAGCTCAGATCAGTTCTACGGCTTCTGCTCATGTCCTGGTTTGGCCTTTGATTAGATGTGTTCAATTCTAGTTGCCAGTTCAGATGAAAACTCTCTGGGGCAAATTGCTTTCGTGCCTAATTCTAATGCCTTGAATCTACTTTCCTTCTTTGTTACCAATTACCAGATTTTGACCCATTTGCTCTTGAATAACTAATTACATAGCAGTTGTATATGCATCAATTTAGCGATCGGTTCATTTTCTATGTTATTTTATTATCTTTATGATCTATTATCTTTTCTATTTGCTCAGTTGCAGTTGGTAGAACATTGGCCTTTGAGTCTGAGGGTTGTGGGTCCGAGCCCTCCGCGAGACCCTCTCCACATTGTCGTTGTGTCCGTGGGAAAGAGTCTTAAAGGAGCTATACCTGCTTCTGCAAGGTTTTAATGTTTAGCACCGTCCCCCAACTCCCTCACAGGCTTCTCATTTCCCATACGCTCTCATTCCACGGAGCCATCTAGTTGTATTTGCGATCTATATGCAACTTCTTGTAAGCTGTACAACAATCACTGATGAAATGGTACAAAAGCAACACACTGCTAAAAAATATATATAACTGAAAGATTACCGCTGGTTCCGTGTCCGAATGTAGTCCGAGCAAAGATAGTCCGAGGCGGTCCCGCTCCCGCAGGTCTCTCCTATAGACAAGTCTCTCCAGAGGATACGATGTAAGCTAGCAATGTTCACCCGGGCTTGATTTCTTCTTTGATAATTTTTTCGCTTTAGTTCCCTCTTCTCTTCCTCACTGTTATGATCAATCTCCAAGTATCAAATACCAGTGAGAAAAGGTGTTCTTCAAGAGGTGTTTAAAGCACAGGCAATGTTTAGCTTCCCAAGTACTACGACATAATTACTGTATCTATGTATATTTTGTGTGCTCCTTGTGTGGTCCTACTTTTCAATTCAATGTATCCTTGTACACACTCCTAAATCACAACACTAGTTTTCTCGAAGGACTTTACACAACCGTTGAATTTGTCTACACAGATCAGAGAATCAAACAGTTCAAACACAAGTAATAAAACATGTTGGTGTTGGTCCATAAGGGGCAGAAGACCAATGCCCATAAGTATTGAAAAGATAAGATACACTTTATTGATAAATGTACATGTCGCATTTGGTATAGAAAGTATCACTCAGATCGTGCAAAAAGACACGAATGTTCATAAATGTTGTTGAATGTTGAGTGTCCTGGATCATCACCACTGTCCTTTTCGTCAGACCCTCACAAGGCTCAAACAGACCCTCACAAGGCTCAAACAGACCCTCCTAGTATTGTCTTGTATGCGCTCTGCAACACCGGAACGTACCCACTGTGGACAAGTAAAGGCGCTCTTATCTTATTGCGTAGCGCGACGTGCAGAAGCCAGCGCCTCAGGCTTGGTTAGACAATTTGTGTTTATTAAATGGACTTTAAAAGCACCAGGCTTCAAGGGGGCTGATGTGATGGAGTTTAGCGGCTGTGAAGAATACCTGAGTGTGTTTTACTTCACTTACACCCGACCGAAGGGGAAGGCTGTTAGCTTCATGAGCAAATAAGTGATTAAAGCTAACACATGTGTGAGAAACAGCTTTTGCTCCATGGGACACAAATTCATTACTTTTGTTCAACCATGAGCTGATAGGTTTGGAAGAATAAATATGTTTTGTAAAGTGGGTATAACAGAAATGACTGTGGTGATGATCCAGGACACGCAACATTCTACAACTTTTATGGACATTTATCAACATTCATGGATATTGGTCAACTCCCCCAATGGGCCAATTCCTATGTGTTCCATATTTAACTGTTTGATTCTCTGATCTGTGTTTGCAATTTCAGCAGTTTTGTAACCTCCGAGATAACTACTTTTGTGATTTTGGGGTTATACAAGAATACATCGAATTGAATTAAATTGTTGTCATAAGCTCACTGCGACCAAAGCACTGATTACAAATGCAAACCACCTGCTGGGTTTTGCTGTAATATTGGTAAAAACTATTTATGGTAGCTTACTGTTGTACAATTCATTGTTGTTTCACTTAAACGGCTTTCTGATTCAATAATTGATAACAGAAAACCTGAAATATGGTATAGTGGATATCATGTCATTTGTATTTTTTTAATTAAGAATCCAAATACGGTATGATGTCTACAGGTTGAGCTATTATCTGGGAACACAAAACATAAACGTAGATGTAATTTAAAGTTGAAATACTGCATAGATTCCCTTTAAATCTTGCTTTAAACCAATGACCTTTTTATACTCTCTGATAGTAAGACTGCCTGTACATTTGTGGGCTGCATTTTGCACGTTTGAGATCTCCACTGGGAAACTCAATGGCGTTACAAAATTATTTTTAAAACATGGCTTCACACAACTTCTGACAAGTGGAGAAAAAGGTTTTGTTTCATTCCTATCATATCCTCCAAATTCAGACCAAAACAATCAAATCTCTGGCTGGGTATGTAAACTTTGATCCACAACTGTATGATAAAGTATAATGAACTGTCCTGCTCACGCCAACAAGGCTAGCATATTCACAGAAAGCATAAATAATAACCATACATTAAAAAGAGTAGAAGCCTGTCTCACATTTTCTGGAAGTTTGGTCCATGACATTGTTTGCTTGAAGTCGCCTCAAGAAGAACATCAAACCAATCTCTTTTTTAATCCTTTAGGGTGCATGAGGGATCTGCGCCTAAATGGACGCTACATGCCTCTGGACAATCAGCCACGAGATGGGGTTTCTCAGGTCAGCGTGCAGGGGCTCTCCCTCGGGTGCTCGTCTGACTCCTGCCGGAAGAACCAGTGCAGCCTCCCGTTCACCTGCGTGGACCTCTGGAGAGTTCACGAATGCAGGTACAGACACAACCCCCACCCCTTACCAACCCACCCACACACCCTGCTTTATGTGCACTTCAGTGGAATACTTGTCATAAAGAACAGAGGGTTACACCAATATGTGAAAAATACATGCTGAAATGTCAAGCTAAAATCTACTGAGCTGGATTAGGGTTGTGCATGCAGGCGGTGGCATTGCAGGCGGTGGCATTCAGGTGCACTCTGCTGAAGACAAAGAAGCCTGATCTAACCAAACCATATCGTACTTATTTCATGTTGTACTTAAGTCTGAATTTGCTCCATTGAGCTCCGTTAACAGGTGGGAGGGGTTAACTCCTTTTACAGATTGAAGCGATTGGATCTGAGTTTACCGTGACGTATGTATTGGGCCCAAGTGAGTGAGGCATTTAGCATTTAGCCTAGCTTTAGCCAACTTCTTTGCCACTAACGGAGCCCATGGGGAGTAGAGCCACAATATCTTTGCAATATATAAGTTTAAATATATATCTGTGCTTCATATATTCATTCATATATGTTTAATTACAATATGTTTATGGACGTATTTAGATCCTCGGGGGTCCTGGACTGGTTCAGAGCAATCTCAGCTCGGAGCAAGTGCTGGTTACCATAGCAACACACCGTTTACTTGCATCAGTTAGCATTTAGTTCTGCTGTATTTCATTTATATTCACCAGTTTTAGCATGTATTAAATATAGAAATGTCATAAAATCAGTCTTTCTTTTAGGGATTTATTCAACAGCTGATAGACGGCTGTCGTAAATGGTCACAACACAATTTAATGATCAGGTGTTGTTGACTTGTTATGGACAAAGCTTTCCAGGAAATAAAATGATGAATTCTGAGGAAGCAAATATTACCAATTGGCTTCTGTGTGGTGGCTCACTTACCTCATCTGAAACAAATCCTTAGACTTTGCACTGACAACAACCCTAATCAGTTTTAGTTGTGTTTTGTACATTTTGTCGTGTCAGCTCTCTGTGCTGTTCACATAAACATAAACAACAGCAGCGTCCAGGAGATACTCTACCACAATAAAAAAACACACGTTGGCTGAATTGAACCTGAATAAAGTTGTGGCTTAAAGTCCAGCAATTACAGTATTCACAATTTTCACAACAGTATTTCTTATATTGTATTATATATTTTCAAATGAATTTTAGCTCTCTATAAAGGTTACTAATTATTTGATTTGGTAAAAAAAAAAAACAATTTGGTTGAGTCTTACTTTAGATGAACCAAGCAGACCCTTCATCATGACTGTTGCACATTTTAAGAGATCTTTTATTTTTTAACTGAACAATAACCATTTTCACAAAAACCATCTTTAACACAATAAAGAAGCAAGAATTAAGTATAAAACTATCTGACTTTAGCATAGTGAAGAAGTATTAAAAAACGGTATATTCTAGCGCATGAATTATATAGTTGTATCTAAACATCTATACACGCAAGTATGGGACAAAGTGACCAAGCAAGGGGACAGGGAACACATGTGCTTCTATATTTCACACTCTGACCAGTGGGGGCGGGTCCCGGCTCAAAATTGTCCAAAATAAATTATTCAATGCTAATTAATAGTATCTTCTTACCTCTCGAAAACGGGTTTACAGGATGGTCCAAAAGTTGGCTCTTGGCCCAAAGCTCCGTTCCACATGTGTGTCAATGCTGAGGGGAGTGTATGTTTTTGGACCACTCTAGTTTAGTCGCTGTGATATTTTGATGGCGCTCGTTAAATGATTGGGACTAGTGACGGCTGACGCATGCGCAGATGTGTTTTTTCACGTTTTCCAGCCCTTGCCATTTTGAAACTGCCCATAGACGGCAAAAGTGTTGGCACATTAGTTTGAACGATGAAGGTAGGCGTGACTATGTCGTTAATATTTACAGTGTATGATTCTGACGCACATTATGTGAGGTCAGGTCGACACGATAGGGGCGACAATAGCTCAGTTGGTAGAGCATTGGCCTTAAGGCCAGAAGGTCGTGGGTTCAATTCCCACCTCTGCACCTTCTCCATCGACTCCCACTGATGACTGCTGTCGTTGTGTCCTTGGGCAAGACACTTAACCCCACTTTGCCCAAAAGCCCCCACTGAAAGATCAAGGCTATGCTCACACTCAGAGAGCAGCCGTCCTCCTGTGGACTCACCACCTGCAGAGGGTCAGTGAGGGGCTGGTGCTATGAGACTTGGGTGGCATCTCTGATTGCCACCCCCCTGACCCAGAAATAGATTAAAGGGTAGAAAATGGATGGATGGATGGAGGTCGACAGTGTTCGTCAGACCTCATTGTTCATCGTACAGTCTGACAGCAGCAGGAAGGAAAGACCTCTACCATGACTGCGGTTAGCAAGCCCATGGTAATAACGGAAGAATAACACTAACACATGGCCGTTAAACAATAAATAGTTAACAGATGAAATCAAAAACTTAACAAAGCTTATGCGATTACTCTGCATCAATTGAAACAAAAAGAATAGGGACCATCTGCTGCATTTGCCGTGGTGTTTATCTCAAATTCCCAAAATGGACTTGCTGGTGAGAAGACGTAGGGGGTGGTGCTGCCAGTTGATTCGAAGACTTTGTGGCGGCCGTCCCACTGAGAAAAAGCAAAGACGAAATTTATCAGAGCTTCAGTTTGATTTGAGCATTGAAATGGAAATGGAAAACACACGCTAACTCTCGGGAGAGCGGTTTAATACCTTGATATGCAAGTGTCTCTGGTCAGGTGGCAAATGGAAGGTTTGATTTTCCCAGTTTTTATTTCAACTACAAAGGAACCCAGAGGAAAAAATATAGGGGAAAAAAAAGAAAAACAAATTCTCACTGGCTGCCTCTCACCACGCACTTTTAGATTTCTACCAAGCACTTCCGTTTCCACCACAACCTAATTACAGGCCTCGATAATTACTATAGCGTCTTCCCCTTCAATGAATAACAGCTCAGTACATTTCTCCAAACAGCTATAGAATGTTGTATAAAGTGACTTACAGTATATGAGTAATTTCAAATGACTACATAAGTGTTTAAGTTGCAATCTTCTGTATAATTATTAAGCCTTCTCCCATTCCAATATACAATAGAATACATATAGTAGTTTGCTGACTTGCTACTTTGAGTCTTCCACAAGAGGCAATGATGTAGATTAGAATGAAATTATACATTTTTCACTTGAAGATGCTTGTTTGGTCATGACGCAAACATAGCATCACGTTTGTATTACTTAAAGCCTAACTAATGGTAAACTTTCAAACCACCAAAACAATGTAAAAAAAATACACAAATATTTTTGGCCTCTGTCATAGTTTTAGATCTGATTTATTTAGACATAAAAGTGAAAAAGAGAGGACCACCTCACTCAGCCAATCCACTCTCAGTACACAAAAGATACACAAAGTTCTATGAAGATACCCTGTTGAGGTCTAATTTGTTAAAAAACACAAAACTATACATTCCCAAGACTCTTTCTACCGGGACAAACATTGTGTATTTCTGATAAACAAAAAAAAGCTAGGTACCTCTGCTTTAATGTACCCATATAATGTTCATTGAAATACAGTATATATTGCCAGCTCCATTGTGGCCGTTTTTGCAACACTATTCCTAAAGTGGACTCGTTTGACTTTTCAGCTCTTTTTATTGCTGATAAAGTTAAACAAGTATCTTCTGCTTTTTACTGGCTGCTCGTTCATCTAAAATGAATGAGGAGGCTGAGCGTTTGGTCCACTTTTAATGTCCCCGTAAAAGCCGCCGCAGAGGGCCTTAATGTTGAAATGCCACAAGAGGCACATGTGCTCAGTCTGTCTGTTGAATATGGCAATGACCCTCACCTGGCCTGTAACAGAAACTCTAATATAGCTGGATTCTTAACACCAGAACGCCCGCTTATTTATGAGCACGGCAGTAACTGGTCTAGGGGCATGTAACTGGAATAATGGGTATGTGTGGTTTCTCTACAATGCAATAATTACATACTATTACTTATCAATGGGATGAAAACAACTTGTATTTTCACAACACAAGTGGATTGTGTCATGTTTTTGCTTTGTGTTAATTTGCTCTATTTTAATGCTGGTATATCTTACTTTGAAACCACAAGTAGGAAGTATGTATTAAAATCAATCAAACCTGTCTGTTCTCTCATAACAGTTTTTACATGCATTGTTTGGCCTCGGTCACATCTGTAGATCATCTTTATCAGACAGAGAAGATAAAAAAGACAGGACCACTCTTTCCCAAAGGGTCAAGTAGTGACTCTCTTAATAATAAGTATGCACAAAGATCAATTAAAGACAGTATTTGTAGTCTGGTTTGTTCACAGCATTTGACTTCTACAAGACTTTCTATTGGAACAAATGAAATCTATCATTTATTAATACATTATGCATTATTATACTAAAAACATTCTCCCTGACCCCATTCCCGCCCCCTGTCTGGTGCCAGGATTCCCCTGAAAAAGAGATGCTCTCTCCGTGGGCTCTTTCCTGGTTAAATAAAGGTCAATAAATAAGGATAGAAAACTTTGACATGACTATGACTAAGTAAGTAGGTAATGTTTATTTATATAGCCCATTTTACAGATCATGGTGTCCCAAAGCGCTTTACAATGTTCAGAGTTCAGATATTTTTCCATTCTCTCCACACGGTGATGTCGGAAGCGAGACGCCAAACACACAGACGCATCAAAGCCCCCAACGCCCTCCATTCACTCACTCATTACATTCTTCCATGTTTTTAGTGTTCAGGGAAACTGGAGCACCCATAGGAAACCTAAACAGACAGGGGTAGAACATTCAGACTCCACACAAAAAGACCTGGAGGTGGAATCGAACCCAGAAACTTCTTGCTGTGAAATACAAGCTCAATAACTTAGTTTAGATTATCTCCCCTTTAAAATCACAAAAACTTATACCAAGACTTATTGTTTGGCCTTTCTGTGACTAGATAAGTGCCCATTGTCACAGCTGTTAAATACGCCCTGTTCTTTATTCTAAGAGCGGAGTCTGAAAGGTTTGCATCAGTAACTAAAAATGGACCATTAGAAGGGTGCACAGATTGAGACGAGACAGAATGAGACTATACAGTGGGTTGAGGGGTTTGAAGCCATTCTTTGGTTATAGAATGGCAGTTCCGTATTCCGAGCCCACTCACACACACCTCATCCACTATAATTACCACTCAAGAGTTGAACTTTTGTTATGGCACAATAATCCCACAGACACTTAATTACCTTTTAACTTTAAGCATTGTGTTTCATATCGCTTCGGCGGCATATTTTTCCCGTTTCGATGCAAGCTGACATTTAGAGCCGCCATTAGAACAAGCAATTAATACGAAATATGGCGGTGACTTTGGACGCCTTTGGAAGTCATTGTACTTGGTGTCGCACTGTCAGTTCTCTGTCTGTAGGAAATGGTCACGGGGTTAGTTGTCTCATGGGAATGGATTTGCAAAAATAAGGCGTTTTGTGAAGGTGCGGTGCAGTTGGTAGAATGTGTGACCAGAATGTATAGGGTCAGACAGCTGTTTTTTTGTGGTTTACCTTTTGCTTAGAGGTTGGCACTTTGGTGGTGATGAAGAAGTGTGCCCTAATGAGGCGGTATAAATAAGGAACTGTGCTCTCTGTCTCTGAAGAGGAGCCATTGATCCACTTGAATAACTTAGACAGTGTGGAACCTTCACACCCTCATAACACATCCATACACAAGGGCATGCTAAAGTGGTCTATGAATATAAATAAGACATGAAACATATTTTATACACTTCACGGTGCGGAACGGCTCCGTTTATCTTAAAATACCGTCAACATTGTATATACTATAAAGAGCTGTTAAAGGACAACATCAATATCCATTCAAATGCTTTCTTCAACTTAAACAACCTTACTCACACAAAGTGAACGGAAAAAGCTATCCTCACTTGCATATAGTTGTTTAAGCTAATTGAGAAAATTAGCTGTAAATCGAGTGTTGGTCACATTCAGTGGTAGTTAAAATTGTAATAAATAATAACAAGACTGCATTGAAATAATCATTCATCAGAAATAGATTTCAAAATGTCACATGTGCCCTCACAAGCTTAATTTCAAAACCCTGACCCATTTGTACATGAGCTAAAAATACCAAGACTTTTGTGGAAGCTTGTCTTTCATTTTCAGAAAGTTCTGATCAAGGTACACCTTACTGTTAGCCTGACTCTGGCCAGACCCATGTAGTTCGCTGCACTTCACACATGAGTCTGGTACTGAGCCATAGTGGTTGGATTTCAGAAGGCAGGGCCTTGTAAAAAAATCCTTGTATGTGATTGGATAGACCACTTGTCCGTTATCTTGAATGAAGTCTGCTTTCAACCACTCACATCGAAGCACACGACTCCCATAGGTTGCCAAATACCAGCAAGATTTTCCAACCCAAAATCCATGAGAATACCCACACAATGAGACTCAGAATGATTTTTTGGCTAATGTAATCAACTTGGGCTATCATGATTCTGTTTATTGTCTTTCTGTTTATTTAATACCTACAAGTCTCTTGGAAAAAAATATGCGGGAACCACCAAACCTGGCAACCCTGCTGCATAGTGTGTAAACAGGAACACTGAACCAGTGCTTCAACCAAACTTTACAGGAACATTTGACTCTTAAAACACACATATATCAACATAGAACCATCTACATCTCGCCTCAAATTGCATTAAAAGTGACATCCGTGTCTTAATTCGGTCGTATTTAAAAAGATTCTCGGACTTTACGTCTGCCATCTTGGATTCCTTTCGCTGCTGCATGAGAGAAGCTTGAGAAGGCAGTGCAAACCTCACGTAACACCGGCAATCCTGATTGGTCGATTAAAAAATAATCTGGGGAAGGCGTTCGCTATGTCGATACCAGACCCATGTGGTTCAGCCAAACGCCTCTAGTGGAGCATGGCGGAACTACAAGGGTCTGGCAGAGCCAGGCTACCTTACTGTACCTTTTGGGAAGTTTGTTCTCTCTATTTGACCCATTCTGCAACTAGGCCACTAGGCCCTCTGTCCGGAGCATCTCCAGATGTTGATGCTTGGTTTGGTCTGGACAACCTGAGCTGGAGGAGTTGATCTATGGCAGATGTTTTGGGTGGTACGGGGGAGACAGGACTGCCCAGAGAAACATTCAAACTCCACAAGAACAGGATCACAGACACAGATTCAAACCCACAACCTAATTTGAAGCATGGCTGGATAGCACTCATGCTGTCCAAGATTATAGCTATATGCTCATACTGATTTACCATCTTTAGTCCCAACTCTGGACACCAGCAGGAGGCCTGTCCCTGTGCTCCTCAGTCTCAGCAGGGGACCTGTCCCTGTGCTCCTCAGTCCCAGCAGGAGGCCAGTCCCTGTGCTCCTCAGTCCCAGCAGGAGGCCAGTCCCTGTGCTCCTCAGTCCCAGCAGGAGGCCAATCCATGTGCTCCTCAGTCCCAGCACGAAACCCGTCCCTGTGCTCCTCAGAAATCCAGACGTCATGCGGCTGCAAGTTTGAAAGAAAAAGATACTCTTGCAGTATTGGAGGAAGATTTAGCACTCCCACCTCACAGCACAACGGGCCCAACACAAATCCCTCAAACAAATGTGTTCTATTGGCAGAGTAAGACCACAATTTTGCCCACTGCTTTTGCAAAGGCTTTCTTAAACTGTCACTACAGGATGTATGGTGAAACGCAGAGGGCTGATAGAACTGTATCTTTATCAACCACAACCACATTTATAATGCCAATGATCTTGATGTATCCAAACAACTTAGATTAATGGCATCATCTTTTTAACACCGCTGCTTTATTATAAAGTTAGTCACAATTTATTTGCTACAAACAAATCACCAGGGAGCCATCTCTACTGTCATCACAATGTAGAGCCCGGAGCCGCGCAGCAGACACTGAATGGAACGCTGAATTAATGGGGTCATAAAATGTTTGTTTGAGCTGTTACACCCAAATGAGCTTTTAATTATTGTGGAGCGTTCTGAAGTGAGGCAGAAAATGTGCTCCTGTCTGCATAAAATCAGCCTAGTTACCGCCATACTGCCACACTCAGCAAATCTGTCTCTTCGGCCAGTAGGGACACGGTATATGAAAGGAGACTTGTTTACATTGAATCATTTAGGGTATTATATTTAGATCTGTCAATTCAATCATATTCTGTAACATAAATATCTCCATCATATAAACAGATTTGGCGATACAGATATGTTTGGTCAGTATTAAACGTTTTGATGAGCTTGTAGTCATTATATCACCAAGAAAATTGTAGCTGGTATGAAATTTTTCTCAATCTGCCATTATATCCCTGGGAAAAATAAATGCATCCACTGCTATCATACCCAAACATGACAGTACTAATATTAATTTGAACTTGGAGAGTTCCCCTGCAAATGAATTCATATATGGATAATACCTCAATGAAGACATTATCCAAATATGAGAAACCACTTTTTTTTGACACAAACATTTACTGAGAAAGAGGAGTTTACTTTTCCATGTAAGTCAATTGGAGCCAGAGAGTTGGAGCTAATCTTTGTCGATGAACACTTCCCCATTGAGCTTAATTGAGCTGTTACTGTCCATCTATATACAGTCTATGATATGAATGTGTGTTTGGGACTAGCTCTCTCAAACTGCAAGACACAGATATGAACAGTCATGAACTACTGAGACAGATTCAATCACATGTTTTGAGCTTTAAAAGTTAGTAACCCCAGCTTTAAGCCAAAAACCCAATTGAAGACGCCAAAATAAGTCCACACCCATTTATTTTGGACTCTCAATTCCTTGGTGTCAGTGCTATGGCTTATCACTAGAACTCAAACAGTTAGCAATTGCCTCTTTCTGCTGTTTTTCAGTTATAATGACCAGTTTCATTTCTTGTATCTTTTTAAAACAAGATACTTTTGTTCGTCCCTTTGGCCAATCTTGTTTTAAAGCAGTCAAATTGTGCTCAAATGTACATATAAACCACTCAATTCAAGCAATTATTACCTCATATTTTATCGTTTTTTGCAGTGAATAAATTACTGAATCTGCTGAAAAACTAGACATTCTTTGGATAATTCTATTGGTTTGAAAGGGAGCAGTCAAAAGAGTTTTTTGTCATTTCAGAATTCTGGGAGTCCTAGAGTTAATAATATCGAATTCTACCTCTCCCTTTGACATCCCTCACCCCTCACTTCTCTCCTCCTCTTGACAGGTGTCCCCCAGGTCACATGATCCGCTCCAACGGCACCAGGAAGTCATGCGTGTACACCCTGTGCGCCACACGGCCGTGTCACCGCGGGACCTGCGTGGCTCAGACCCCCTCCAAGTTCACCTGTCACTGTCCCGAGGGCTACAGGGGGCGCCACTGCGAGACCACGCTGGCCATCTACAGGGAGGAAGTGGGCCTCAGCTTCAGCTCGCTCTTCGCCATTTGCATCTGCTTCATGGCACTGCTCGGTAAGTGCCGCACTGCAAACACACGGCTTTGTGGTCTCCTGAGAGTATGTTGTGTTCATGTGACATCACAGTAGATAGATAGATACATAGATTGATAGACTTTATTTATCCCCCATAGGAGAATTTCAGGTGTCAGCAGAAACAGATCCATTCATACAAACAAAACAAATATATAGATAATTCTAAAAGTACAGCAGGTCACAGCAGCAACAGTATTCTATAAAGGCGATAACTATGGTGTCAGTATTTTCTCATAAATGTGTTGAAGTGAAGGCAATATTCAAAAAGCATGTTCATGATGTTGGTCAGTAGAAAGTACTTAAAACAAAAATAATATGGTGGGTTTGTGAATCTATCAAACAATGTCTGAAAACCTATTGATATTTTTAACATATTGATATTTTTTAATAAATACCTTCTTATCCATGGAGTTGTATTGGCACCTGCCTTCTAACTGAAATAGAATTCTAAAACATAAAAGCAACCTTTTTGAGGGTTTTGTCTGCGTTTTGAGTTGTTTTGAGATAAAAGCATAGAATATTTTTTGTAAATTATGATTTTTTTTGCATTATTTCTTTTAGCTAAATGCCGTGCTTCAAAATATGTGATCACAGGCAGATAAGATTAGCCCATTGGTTTGCTTATCCACTGACAAATGACCAAAGTCTATACTGTATAGTAAAGCCAGGTAAATAAATCAGCTGAAAGGTTTCTCAATGTGAACAAAACAAATATTGTGATTTTGGTCTCATGCAAGGAGGTGAACATTGTGGATTCTTGTTTTCAGTGGGTGTATTCCACATCTAATAGTTGTTTCTAAGAAATGGCTAACTGTGCACAATGACCTGCTCTGTGGGAGTTCTGATTTGGCTTTGATTTCACTCTTCTGTTGAGCTTTTGTGAATGCTGTATGCTGGGATTATGATGTTGGATTAGGACATTTTGCAACACTTGCCAGTGAAATGATAGCCTGGGAATGCTCATGCTTTTGTGTGCGCCCAAACTTATTGTACAGTGCATAATAGCCTGGAAACACGGGTCAACATTTTTACATTGATTTGGGAACCAATCACAGATCGGGGAGGAACGGCAAGACTATGACACTCACAGACAGAAGCTTGTAGTTTGTTCACATATTCAGAAGATGGCTGCTTTCTTTCTGCATGTTTAACTTGCAGAAACAGCAGTTATTGTTTACCGTTTATATTGCCATAATATTGGGTTGAATTGAATTGACAAAGCAGCCATCCTCCTGTGGACTCCACCTGCAGGAGGATCAGGGGCTGGTGCTATGTGAATTGGGTGCAGCTCCCGACTCAGAAACGGATTAAGGGGAAGAAAATGGATGGATGGATATGGTTGGTACATAATAAACTTTCGTAGTGCCTGATAAACAGCTTTGAACAGTCGTAAACCACACTTCTCTTATTAGAAAATGAAAACAAAGTTCCCAGACTAAATCTCACTTGTTGCAAAAAGCCTGCATGGTTGAGTTGCTTTTTAAATTTATGATTATTCAATTAAGATCTGTTTAGGTGGGTGTAAATGTAAAAAGCAATCAAGCCTTACAATCTTACAGAAAAAAAAAATATATATATTGAAGTAAAATTATAACAAGTAGCGACTTAAACACAAATCCAAGTGAAAGTTCTCATTGTCCACTTGTATTAATAAAGTGTGTGGTTGGTAAGTGGCACGCCTGAGCCATATCTTCTTTGTCGCTCTGTGAGATCCATAAAAGTGATAACTAGAAAATGAAAAATGTGTTCCAGTCGGGCAGCGGGCCTCTAGATCATCCTGACAGTGCACAGCCTCCTCCGCACTCTCCCAGAAGAGCAGAAGAGCGGCCCATGTGCTGATGCAAAAGATGGCTCTGTGGTCATTAGCGCTGGCCACTCACTGCTGTCTTTACTGTGAGCTCAAAGGTTACAGGAAATACATATGGCATTTCAGAAGTGGATTCTCTAAAAGCAGAAAGATAAAAATGAGAATGAAAAAAATGTAATATTTGACTGTAAAATTACCCAAAGAAATTGCAGAATGTGTTTGTGTGTGTGTTTATATGTATATATATATATATATATATATATATATATATATATATATACTGTATATATTTTTAATTCCGTATTTTTTTCTTTACAACATATACAGTATACTATAGCAATCATTGCACAAACATTTACATCATATCGGATATTTTCTTTTTTACCTCCCTATATAAAAGTATAACACTCCGGTCTACCACCATCGTCAATTGGAATTGGATTTATAGGTTCTTTAGTCCGGCTTCTATAGAGTCCTTGGACAAAACACAATCTTTTCATAATCTAGCCGTGGGTGGTTGTGGTTGCAGTAGAAGGGATTTCTAGTATTATGTCATTTCCATATATAAACACACAAAGGACACCAGAAGTGTTTACACTGTGTAAAAGGTTGTATGTTTTTTGTCCTTTTTTTGTATATAGAAAATAGTATATGTGTATATATATATATATATATATATATATATATATATATATATATATATATATATATATATATATATATATATATATATATATATATATATATGTGTGTACAGTATATAAGTGAAACTCATCTCTGCAATCTGCAACTTTTGATATGAAACCAATATATGATAAATTATTACTCATTCCATGCATAGTGATATATGCCTTGTTTGATATACTTTTGATGAATTTGGCTTATGATCCATTTTCAAATTATTTATTATTATTGTTAAGTTTTCTGTGACACATTTATTCACATTATATCAATTAAAGGCTTGATACCAGTGCTTATGTTATGTAAGTGATAGCTTAGACACACAAGGAAAATTGAAAATGACAATGTCCAGTACTGATGTATGGGGATGGACCCCTCACTCATGGTTCCCATGAGCCATTGCACTTGCAGCGTCGAGTTTGCGACATGAACAAAATGGAGCAACAGACGAGAGGCATTTTAAATCCTGTAGTTGTAGCAGATTGTGTTGGATTTAGTGTTGTTGTTGACATTTGGACAGTTGCAGTTTTGTGGGTGCACTTGTTCTTCTATGTTCTTCTAACTCAGGCAGTAGGGTTTTTTTCATTCAAATTTTGATTTGCACTAATAGACAAGTATAAATGTGTTTAATTATTCAACAATAATTAAAGGAGCTTGACTGAATTTACATTAATTTGTGTTTCACGTGTAACATTGTGTAACATTATGATTAAACTCATTAGACCATTCTATTTATTTTCACCAACCATTGACCTGGGTTTGTGGACATAATTGTCTAAATATTATGCAATGGTAAATTCTCTTGCTTTCGATGGAATGCATATATTTGGTGCCTCCACTCGCACACGTGTAGAGGAGCCAGATCCAACTTCAGAGGTGCCAGATTTTGTTCCGGTGTTTGTTTTTACAAAATATGTAGACGTTTGGTTTCTACTGTACATTACATTGTGCAGAGTTCATGTTTTCCTTCTCATAATTCATCATAATTGTCCTCTGTCTCGACAACCCTCCACTCCTGAGCCTTCTCATTGACAAACAAACACTTGATCCTGTTCTGGCATAAAGTCGCTAATGCATTTGTGTGTGTGGCATTGTTAGGACTGTCATTGCTAATGGAGACTTCAGCTCCCGGTGCAGTGCAGTGATCAATTTTTCTCAGAGATGCCAAAAAAATAAATAAAAAATGCAGCCACTTTATTCCGAATGCTTTAAAGTTGGACAGGGATTAAATGGATGAGTACAGTGAGATAGAGCCTCCATGGCAAATCCAATCCGGTTCAATGAGTGCTTTCAACTATAGCCTCAAACCTCACAATGAAAAGAATCCCTGCGCTTCCAAACTTACCGCAGACACAACATAGAAAACCCGCCGAGGATGGTTTCAAAATGGAACGTTGTGATTTTGCAATTATATTAAGCTGTCAAACGTTTCTATGAAGGAATGGTAACTGTTAATTGTATTGTATTTTCTGTTATGCTCTGAATGCATTATTTGTTTAATGATTGATGACGTCACGGCCGGACCTTATTTAACCCCGCCCTAAATAAACCATGGCACCTTGCTTGTGTGAAATGAATCTGTGTGGACTGCTCGTCTTTTTCTCGCACAGTGCTAAAGGAGGCTCACACTGGGCTGCTGCGTAGCGAATTCTGACAACAGGTTATGGGCCCAGGAAGCCTCAGAGAGAGACTGGAGGACGCTGAGAAGTAAAAGTCGCGACGAACTGCGAGCTCAGTAAGTGCTAACCCGGTGCTAACGGCTAACGCCCAAAGACAGAATGGAGCGTACAGGTAGATGGTCCCGCCTGGTCTTCGACGGAGACGAAAAGGGATACGAACTGTGGGAAACTAAGTTTTTGGGACATTTGCATTTGCAAAAACTTAAACCGACCATATTGGGTGTTGGTGAAGACGATGACGACTTCGATGATAAAAATGCCGAAGCTTATTCTGAATTAATCCAGTTTCTCGACGACAAAAGTTTGAGTTTGGTCATGAGAGAAGCCCCTGATGATGGAAGACAAGCGTTGAAGATTTTACGCGCATATTATGCTGGTAAAGGAAAGCCACGTATTATCAGCCTTTACACGGAATTGACCAATCTCCAAAAAGCGAGCAGTGAAAGTGTAACGGAGTATGTTATACGTACAGAGACTATCATAACAGCGCTACGGGGCGCTGGTGAAACAATGAGTGATGATTTGCTAATTGCAATGGTGTTAAAAGGACTACCGGAGTCATTCAGGCCGTTCGCCATACATATAACCCAAAGTGACGACACATTACAGTTTTCAGACTTTAAAGTGAAGTTACGGTCATTTGAAGACACGGTGAAAATGTGTGTACAGTCAGCTGAAGATAACGTAATGAAGATAAAAGCCAAAGCATCTGACTGGCACGAAAACAACACCGCTACGAACATTGTTTGTTTTAAATGCGGCACAAAAGGACACAAAGCCAGAACGTGTCAGCGCAGGCAGTGGTGCAGTTTTTGTAAAAGTGCCACACACAAGGACGCAAACTGCAGACGGCGCCGACAAGATAATATAAGACAAGTCGCTGAGGAGGAGAGCACCGCTTATGCTTTCCTGACCCAAGACGTGGAGAGTCACCCAGAAGGACGTGTCAAGAGGGGACTGATGGTCGACACTGGAGCAACGTCCCACATCATTACCGAGGAGTCGATGTTCAGAAGCTTCGATGAGAACTTCAGATCGGAGACCCACTGTGTGGAGCTCGCAGATGGAACCAGGAGCCAGGGAGTGGCCAAGCAGCGGGGTGATGCTGAGGTGTTCCTGATCGACAGCAGTGGTCAGCGCCATGCAGCAACACTGAGGGGAGCACTGTTCATCCCGTCGTACCCACAGAACATCTTTTCTGTGAAGGCAGCCACATCTAGTGGGGCAACGATGGTCTTCAAGGAGGGGAAGAACTCCCTCATTCACAGAGACGGTACTGTTTTTCCAATCAGTGTGAAAAATAAACTGTACTACCTCGCTACAGCAATAGGAGGTAAGGATACACTTAATGGGTGTTTTGATCTACAGACATGGCATGAAATACTTGGACATTGTAATCATGAAGACGTACAAAAGCTACCAAAAGTGGTTAGAGGTATGACTATTAAAGGTAAAATGGAGAAGCCTATTCCACCATGTGAAGTGTGCATCCAGGGAAAGTTTGTTCAAACAAGGAGCAGAGAAGCTGATGCACGTGCCACAGATGTGTTACAGTTAGTACATACAGATCTTGCAGGGCCAGTAGATCCCATGTCCAAAGAGGGCTACAGATATGCCCTATCATTCACTGATGATTTTTCCAGTGCAGTTTTTGTTTATTTTCTTAAACAAAAGAGTGATACAGTAAATGCAACAGAGAAGTTTCTAGCTGATACTGCCCCCTATGGGAAGATTAAATGTATCAGATCTGATAATGGGACTGAGTTCACATCAAAAGAGTATCAGTCATTATTAAAGCAAAACAGAATTAGACATGAGACCTCTGCGCCGTATTCTCCACACCAGAACGGCACAGCAGAGCGGAACTGGCGGACATTATTTGACATGGCCAGGTGTATGATCGTCGAAAGTGACCTGCCAAAATCATTGTGGCCTTATGCTGTACAGACAGCAGCTGTAGTCAGAAACCGGTGTTTTAATAATCGCACAAAACAAACACCGTACTTTATGCTGACGGGGAACAAACCAGATGTTTCCAAAATGCAAAAATTTGGCTCTGTGTGTTTTGCTTACAAGCAAGACAAAAAGAAACTTGACACAAGATGTGAAAAAGGAGTGTTCATTGGATATGACAAAAATAGCCCAGCTTACTTGGTCTATTATCCTAATAGTGAAAAGGTCCAAAAGAACAGATTGTTGAAGTTTGTGTTAAAGAAAACTGTGGAGCAGCAAACCCAAACAGTGTTAACATCTGACGACGATGATGAAACGACCAGAACTAAACCAAGACCTGTATCAAAACCAATTGGGACCTCTGAGAACATCCAGGAGGATGAGCCAGAAGATCTAGTCCCTGAAAGGAATGAGACTGAGCCAAGTAAGACCAGCAGTAGGAGATATCCATCCAGAGACAGACGGAAGCCGAGTTATCTGTATGAATATGTTTCTGATTTTGACAGTGATGATCAGGTGCTAATTAATATTGATTATTGTTATAGACTGTCATGTGGAGTACCACAATCTTTCAGGGAAGCGGTGACTTCACCAGAATCAAACTGCTGGATCAGAGCCATGGACGAGGAGATTCTATCATTGAGGGAGAATAACACATTCACCCTGACCAACTTACCCAGAGGCAAGTGTGCAGTGGGGGGAAAGTGGGTGTACGCCATTAAGAGGAACGAAGATGGTACGGACAAGTACAAGGCACGTTATGTTGCAAAAGGTTAT